GGTGTTATCGCTCTCACTCTCTCATACTGGTCACTGGAAGTTGAATTGTTGAAAGGTGAAGTCACATGAAAAGATATAATAAAATATTTACAAAAATGTGAGGGGTGTACTCACTTCTGTGAGATACTGTATATATATATATATATTTATATATATGTATGTAACGGGGTGTAACGGTTTTGACGTCACGGTTTGGTATGGTTTCGATACAGCAGGAGGAAAAAATATTTTCTTAGGGATAAAAATCTACCTCAGCTTCTGCTCTAAACTATAGGGAGCAAATTCAATTACTATTTATTTTTAACTATAATAATCAACACTCAAATATTTTTTTTAAAAATGTTAACATGTAAATTGCACATAATACAGTTTTTAAATTATGCTAACTTCTAAATTATACCATTTATATTTATTGTTGAAATATAATAGTTTACACAGTGACTGTCATAACTTATTTCATAAAAAGATTTATTTAAACATACATTTAATAATTAAGACATCACTAAAGTAAAATATAATGGAGTATATAGTCTACTATTTCTCAAAATGCTCTGCTCTAAAGTTAATTTCTTTAGCAAATAACGAGCTGTGGACACTGATGACTTGCCTGAGGTAAATGAAATGCTACGTGACATTTTGTTTACAAGCTGTTTTATTGACGTCTTTCCACAATTGAAACACTGATTGAGCAATTACATAAGATGTTCATTCATGTTTACTTCACGTTAAAACTAGTCCTAAAGATGAAGCGATGATAGCTCTCACTTGTGTGAAAATGTACTATATATTATTTAAAGGGGTCATATGACTTTGCTAAATAGAACATTATTTTGTGTATTTGGTGTAATGCAATGTGTTTATGCGGTTTAAGGTTTAACACATTATTTTCCATATAATGTACATTATTGTTGCTCTTCTATGCCCCGCCTTTCTGAAACGTGTCGATTTTTACAAAGCTCATCTCTCTGAAAAAGCGAGGTGTGCTGTGATTGGCCAGCTATCCAGTGCGTTGTGATTGACCGAATGCCTCAAGCATGTGACGGAAATGTTACGTCCCTTAACATACTGTGGTGCCGTCTCCCAGCAGGACGAGACAAAATAGAAGGACGAGGAAGTGAAGGTAAAGGCAATGTGATTTTTATGTGCATTTGTATTATATTTGCATTATACATTTGCAGTTTTTTTCCCACTCAACACTGGATATTTTAAATGTTTACTGTATGTGTTACTTGCTGAAAAACCGGCATGTATCTATACTTTTTTTAATATTATTTAAATATAAATATTATCATGCATATGCAAACAAGTGTCACAATCCATCACAAAACCAATGACATGATGTTTATTTATTTTTTTTAATTCACTATTGGCTTTTGTTGAGTGTTGTAAGGGAAAAAGCAGCATGAATATTCTCATCATATTCTCCTTTTGAGAAGATGAAAAAAAATCAACAAACCTGACAAGGGGTGTTTTAAAAAAAATTAATAAATGCTATGTGATTATTTTCAAATGATTCAAAAAGAAGGTAAAAATGCCATTGAGAAAAAAATAGTATAGTATTTATTTATAGCAAAACACCTAAAGGCCGTTAGGAAAATACACACGAGAAAACAATTTTTAAAGTAAAAAGAGAACAGATATAAACAACTATAAAAATGCAGGAACATTTTTAAATGCAAAAACAATAAAGATGTAAAACCTTAAATGTAAAAACTAAACATAAGAACATATTTTTAAAGTAAAAACAGAATAAATATAACTAAACAAAAATAAAATGAAAAAAAAAACTACTAAAATTAACAAAATAGTAAGTTTTTTTTTTATCTGAAAATGAATGTAAGAATATAAATGTAAAAACATAACAAATATAACTAACTACAAATGTGGAAAGTAAAAAGATAAAATTCAAAAACTATAAAAAATGCCAAAACTGTTAAAAACAAAACTTAATGTAAAATGTTTTTAAAAATGTAAGAAAATTAAAGAACTTTTAAAGAAAAAAAATCGAACTAATTTAACTAAATATAAAAATGTCAAACAAATTAAAAATTCTAATAAAATTTAATAATAAAATGTATAAACTATAAAGAAGTCAAATTAAAATGTAATAACATAAAATGCAAAAAACTACAACTATAACTAAATTTATAATGAAATAATATGGCAATTTAAAAAAAAAAAAGACAATTATGAGATTTCCAAGTCTGTTTAGTATCTTTCAATTTCTGACCTCAGGTTGTTCCTGTGAAGAAGATGAAGGCAGATGATATCAGCAGCTTGCTGGATTCTCTGGGTTTCTATAAAAGATCACAGAAAGGCGAGGAGGTCCCTGAGGAGTTCAAACGTTTCCCTTTAAACGTGCCTCGGGACGAACTGTGACCCCCGCTGGAACTGCAGCCCGCCGCCAATGACGTCCTGAGTCTCAACGCTCAGAAACACGGCCGGACTCTGCACCGAAACACAGATGGCTGGAGGCAGTCCTAAGCACACACACATTTACAATAAACTTCTTACATCTTTGGCTTGTGTGGCATTGTTTCGTTGCGTTTCATTAAAATGTATGAGCTTCCTTGGTTTTCACAAAGGAAAGCAATTACACAATTTTTTTTTTTTGTTAGTTTTTTTGCTGTAGTAACATGAACTGTAGTTACTTTGGTTTTCATGGTGAGGATGACATCTCAGTCTGCTGTCAGACTCCATCTGTTTCCTCAGATTTCATCTGGTTAGCGCTTGGAAGACTCCAGTTAATCTCAAGCCACACAAACTGAAGTGGAGAAGCGTGGATGAGTGATTGATGTGGTCTCCAGCATGCCTGTGTTCTACACGCCGATCCCTCAGAACCTGAGAATGGGTCTGGCTAACATCAGCGGCTCAGTGTTTATAAATAACAGAACGCGAGACAGCAGACACTTCAGGGACCCTTATCAGGATCATGAAGGTGAGACGTCTGCCAAACACAATGAAACGTCTCTACAGCCAGCCTTGATTATAGAAGTTACACATCAGTTAGGCTGTTGGTCTTTGTCACACTGTACGAGTGGATATCATGTAATATAAGAGAAAAATTCACCTTTACTGGCATTTTTATTGGCACTTTCTGAGAACATGACCAAAAAAAAAAAATATCTGATATTATTAAAAGTATATATATATATATATATTTTTTTTTTTTTTACTTTAAATATACATACATGCATAATATAACATTTAAGGTTAGGATTATGTATAAATTATATATACAATCCTATATATACTTTATATTAAACAAACTGTATACACTTATACATTTTATTTACAATAATAAAATAAATAATGAAAAACCAAAACTTTGGTTAAAGTGATTTATAACAGTTGCTACCTCAATAGAAGTGTTCAACCTATATATATAAAAAAGTTATGTAATTTACCCCAGGTGATGAAGGTAATAATAATGAACAATTTAAAAAGTAATTATATTTGACTAAAGATTATTATTAAACACCGTGTTAAGTGTTCTTTCTTACTATGCTGTGCTGTTATCTAGTGTGTGCTGAGGTCTCGTCTCATCTCCCGCTACAGATGCTGCTCTACTTCAACATCTTCTTCCCCTTCTGGTGGATCTCTAAGGTGCTGATGCTGCATTTAAAGGTGCATTCAATTACAATCATAAAGATATTGTCAATAAACAAATCCTTACTTGCATCATATTATGGGCAGATCCTTGATCTTTAAAAATAAAACTGCACAATACATTATTAAAACATATTATTCTGAATGACGGTTATTTTAGTATCATTGATATATTATTGTAGTTTTTGTTACAATTTTTCATTTGAATTGTTTATAGTTTCTGTTTTTATTTTAATGAAAAGTCTTAGTAATTGTGCTGTAATTTTTAAGAAAATGGTCTATGTAGTTATTTTTATTTTATTTTATCTTTTTAGTTTTAGTTACTTCAAGTTAAACTAAATTACAATTAGAAATGTTACAGTGTCAACAAGCTCTTTTATTTCAGCTAACATTTATTTCATTTATTATTTTATGGTTTTAGTTTATTAAAGCATATCTGACAACTAACAACTTCTGAACCAGTGTTAACACAATTGATACAGTATTATAGATTTTGTTAATATTTTGAATTAGATGTTCATTATTAAATTTTCTCTTTTTATTTTAATTTTAGTTAAAATTTAGTAATTTTTTTCAACTATTTTTAAACAAGTCTTTATGTTGTTAATACATTTTAATTTTAAATAAATGTTACGTTTTTTATTATTATTTTATTTCCGTTAATGTTTATTTCAAGCAATGATTTTTTTTTATGGTTTTAGTTATAACTAATAACCCTGTTCTGAACTTCTGCAAAATGCTTAACTTCTGCAAGTTAGCTAGCCCAGTGTGTTGTGATTGGCTAAACCGTCTCTAGTGCGCATCCTTTTCCCAAGGGTGGGGTTTATCTGGGTTTGTGATGTCACGAACCCGGGAAGTAACTTGTTGTAGTCCCTACCAGCCGTTTTTGTAGGCATTTAACTGCCAGAATTTGAAAAGACGATATCTCCGTTTGCGTTGAACTTTCAGCTTCGTAACTTTGCAGATATTGTTTATGCTCAAACAGCAACATTACACACTAACTAACATTAAAAAAGTGAAATCGCAATCAACCACTCCTTTAAAACTTTTTTTGTGTCTATAACATGCAGAAGGCTGAAAAGGTCCAGAGAAATTCTATGTTAACGACAAATGAGTTTTGAAATAACTGAAAACACTTTCAAACAGTTTTAGGGAGCGTTTTAATGACTTTGCTGTAAGTGATTATTAAAATGAATGCATTAACATCACATCCGTAATAACTGCAGCTGACAGGCCATTAGCAGCAATGCAAGATACATGGCTCCTGTATCCATGGTGATGGTCTGCCTTTGTGAACTGCACACTGACGTTCAAGTGCTACTGTTATATATTGTACCTTTAATAGCTCAGCTAAATCACAGCAATTCACTGAGATACTGCTGTGATTATCATTTCAGATGTCAAGACATAAAGGATCTTCACTGCACCCCTGCTCACCTTCTTGTAATAATATTGGATAAGCAGTATTTTTTAGGTCAGACTAGGGTTGTGGATATTTTAAGGGCATATTTCAGCTTACCTCTGTTTCTTTCACCATTTCAATAGTTCTGTTATCTGCCAGCGTATTACCAGTGTCTGCTGGTGACGGGGATGGTCCTGATCAGCATATTCGAGGTGTTGCGAGCAGTTGTGTATAAAGTACCTGAAAGCCATGGTAAGTAAAAGTACAGATGTCTTATCAGAAAATGACTTTGGTAGAAGTTGAAGTCACCGTTTAGAATATTACTTGAGTAAAAGTCTTAATGTATGTGATATTTATTGTACTTAAGTACGAAAAGTTTTTTTTAATCTTAAACGTACTTAAGTATTGAAAGTAAAAGTACAAGTAAATGCAAAATGGAAAAGAAGCAAATAAATATACATAAAAAAAATTCATACACAGCTTGAGTAGCAAGATTGTGTTCAGTTTTAACTCTTTCTTCCATTTTGTATTTTTGGGTAAGAAAAAGAAGCACTTCATCCGGTCTTCCATTCCAACATAAGAAATAATTTCTGGAATTTGCATCTGAAATGGCATTTAGCCTACAGTTTAATGTATCTCAGAGGGGACATAATGCATTTAACCTGCAGTTACAGATGCATAAACAGGTCTAATGTTTTGTTTTTAACATAAAAAATGTGTTATGCTGATATCTGCAGAAAAACGGTACTCTTTGTATAGATTGTAGCACATTATAAAACAGTATGCAATAGTAACGTATTGAGTGTAAATTATAATTTTTATTAAAATTATCAAATGCATGCCACTATGGGACAATAAAGACATCCCTACACTTAACCCTAACCTTAACCAATAAACATATGTGATGCACCTTATTTTCCACTTTTCGAATATATCCTTCATTAATTCCTTTCCGGTGTGATATGTGATGTGAAAAGGGAGAAGAACGAGTTCGGCAAAAGGCGGATTCGAACTCGGGCCGATCACGTAAAAAAAAAACCTGCTAAAATGATGCCCTTTATTACCTACGCCACTGGAGTCGTTGTATGAAAGGTGTCTTTTGTAATCTTGTGTAACCCAACCACACGTTGGTGGGCGGAGTTAGTATAGCCTCTGCTATCTCCTTTTCCCACCTGAGCACTAGGGCTTGGTTTTGACACAAATTTCACGATTCGAATCGATTCTCATTCACAAGCTTGCGATTCGATTCGATTACCAATTCGATTCAATGTCGATTATTTTGTACAGTGGTGGACGAAGTACACAAGTCAAGTACTTGAGTAAAAGTACAGATCCGTATAATAAAATATTACTCCAGTAAAAGTAAAAGTACTCAGTTTTCAATTTTAGTCGAGTGAAAGTACAAAAGCACTTGATTTTTTATGTACTTAAGTAAAAAGTACTTATAGATGAATGTTTATTTTGCAGTTGTATATAGGCTACTTTTATAATTTAATTTTATATTAGCATTTTTTTTAATAAACGTACTGCTCAAAACACCTGGGATTTTCCCAAAATAACCAATAAGGAAATAATGAATATAATAAGGAAAATATAATTCGATTTTCATAATGATTTAGTTATAGAAGTTCACAGAACTGACTCAGCAACAGCTGAGTAAAACTGAGCATGTGGCACTTTAAGCATTGTCGTATCGCATATCGCATATCGCATTATTTAATGAGTTATCGCATATCGCATTTTTCTTCAATATCGCACAGCCCTAGTAGTTACCATGTTCTGAACATCACATCCTTTATTTTTCCCCTCAGATGTAATCTATCTAGGTGGTTGAATAAAAATATTTGGACTTTATTTTTAAAAAATTACCTCAATTTAGCACCAGCAAGCTTGTTAGCTAGACAGTTAGCTTCAGTTAACATTATTGACTTATTTTCAGCATGGTTATGAATAAACATTTATATTTGTCTACTCGGTTAGTTGATCCAGATGCATAGTAACTTAGGCAATGTGTGCTGACAAACAATATAAAAACAGACGTCGCATAGGGCTAAATGCATAGCATTTTAGTAAAACTGCTAATGTTACAGCAGCGGGGAAGATGAACGTGCAAGAGTTATTTTATTTAAAGGGGACAAAACACATACAGTTTCACCCAATCTCAAGTTAATCTTGAGTACCTATAGAGTAGTACTGCATCCTTCATATCTCCAAAAAGTCTTTAGTTTTATCATATTTCTAAAAGAAAGATACAGCTTTACGATTCTCTCTGGAAAAAGCGAGCTCCTGGAGGCGCGCCGTGGGCGGAGCTAAAGAGTGATGAGCACTTGGGCTCCGAATGCCAACAAAACAGACATTTGATGCCGTTTCACATACTGTCTGCAGATCTGAATCATGACCGGGATCTTTTATAGCTGGACCGCTCCATCTTTCAGTATCAAACCATGTGCAAATCCAGCGTCGAACTGGGCCTTGTTTATAAGACGTTCCTCAACAAACACACTTGTGAAACTCCGTTGCTGCCCCATATAAACAAACTGTATCCACTGTTTACATAACGCTGGGTTCTTTAGGAAGCTGAACAAATTTATCTTTCCCTTACAACCAAAAACACACTTCTTTGGAGACATTCTTCCCGAGCAAGTCCCGTGCAGCGCTGTCGCAGGATGAAGCACTTGATGGGTGCGATCTCGCTCTCACTCTCGCTCTCGCGCTGGTCGATGCGTGTGCAGGTGCGCTCTTCAGGGAGAAATTCCCATATAATGAGTTCCACCCTGGTCTACGTCATGAAGAGCCACGATCGAAAAAAAACTCTCAGAAACTTGTACGAACCCGGAAGTACGATTTTTGGCACAGAAATACTCCATCATACGTCCAAATTTTGAAACTTTGTCCATGCTTAGCATGAGAATCCAACTCTTTAACAGTGCAAACAACTCTGAACCATTTCCCCCCCCCCCCCCCTTTAATCTGTGTTATTTTAATGTTTTTTTTTTACCTAAAACAGAGACTCTGATGTTAATGTGTCTGCATTCAAACATATCAGTGGGCTTAAACAGATCACCCAGCAGATTTAGTTCACAAACAACTGACAGCTTTGACATAAATATGATTTTCAGTTACAATAATTAATCCTAAAATTCGACATTAGTAACTTACTTTTAATAGCATCAGCTCACAAGATCTCCCGGTTCTTATTTGTGAATTCAGTTCACTGGAGACTCGCACTAAATGGTTTATTTGAATCAGTGCATTGTCGACTCGAGAACAGCTGCAATCGGATCATTCTAATTTGTGAATGAATCGCTTGGTGCGATTTGCGAACCGATTTAACGGGTTCATTGAAAATAATCAGTTCGTTCATGATTCTGCGTGTAGGAGCACATGATATATTATAAGGAGTAACGATATGTTTTATGAAATGTAGTGAAGTAAAAAGTACAATCTTATGCTTTGGAATGTAGTGAAGTAAAAGTAAAA